ATTATTATTTCAAATATTATTTTGGGCGGGAAAAATGAGGGTGTTACAGGAAGGCCATACGCCGCCGGTTCAAACTTCTCTGGATCAACCTTGAGATGTCTGGCGAGCCTCCGGTAGACGAGGGCTTGGGTAAAATACTCGCCCCCCTCGTAATATTCCTTGCCCTTCCGGACCATCCATTCAGCCTCGGGGCCCTTCACCCAGGCATCCACCGAAGTTCTTACTACCGAGGCCACCCATTCCTTCTGGCCCTCAGCTTTCCACCCTTCCGCAAGAAATGCAGCGACGGCATCCTCCCGCGCCTTGACGACGGCTTCCGCCTTGGAAGCCTCGGCCTCCTCGGTAGCTTTCTTGGCTGCCTCTTCAGCTTCGGCCTTCTCCGCCCTGGTCCTCTCAGCCTTGGCCTTCGCCTACCGCAGCTCCTCCTCCAGTTTAGCCATCTGCCTCACGGCATCGGCATTGTCATGGATGAGCTTCTTCAGCTTCTCATCCTCCTGTGCCCTCCGAAGGCGCCACTCTTCAAGCCTCCGGGCCTGCTCACCGAGGGCAATGCAGGTCTGCAAAGCAACAAACGAGAACGATTAGAACACCATGCAAAGATACTCTAAGGCGAGAAGGAAAGGAATGGGGAAAGAAAAACTTACAGTAAGGGAGGAACGGAGGATCTTATTATCCAAGGCCTCATCGTCCATTCGGCTGAGGGCAACCCTGTACAGCGAGGGGGTGGCACCTCTCAGGAACTCCTTCGGGTCCACCGTTCCATGCACGATGGTCGTTCGCTTGGGGAGAGAGAACTATATACTCTCCCTGGGCAGCCCCCCACGTCCACGAGGGCTTAGAAAGGAGCCCCTAACACGATCGGGGGATCAGAGGATGAATGCCCCTCAACAATCACCACAGAAGGAGCTTTCTTCTCAGCATTCCCCTTCTTCAGCTTCTTGCCGATGGGAGCGACTCCTTTGTCGGTCGCCTTCCTCTTGGAGGCAGCTGCGGCATCATCAGAATGTACCGCCGAGGGCTCACCACCCTTCTTAAGGAATTCACCGACGGGCTTCTGGGTGCCCGCCCCCTTCTTCTTAGGGTCCTTCACAGACTTCTTCATCAAGCCAGCAAAGCCCCTGACGTCCATGTTGGTACCTGCAAAGCAAAACAACAAGGGATAAGGCCGAAGGGTCAAAACAAGAACATACATCAAAAGCATCACAAAAATTTCTAAGTACAAAAGCCAAGAGCCTCCGGGAACTACCTCTGAAGGCTCGGTCAAGAACGGGGTACTTCTCATCCACTTCCCCTAGAAACCGGTAACGCCGGAAGCCGAGATCATACACATCGTCATCAAGGGTCAGCTCCTTGATTGACACATGCTTTTCGCGCCCCACCGGAATGGCATAGATCTTCCTACCATCTTTCTCGAGGGCAGCACCCTCCACCTTCGGGTGCCTCCTAAAGTAGTTCCTTAGCTCCCCTGGGAACGAATTTTCCGCCATCCTGACGAAGCAGAAATGATCTTTCCAGCCCTTATGGGACGAGGGCACATCGTCAAATAGTCTCCGAGGGGCAAGGTGCTGAAGGTTGGCAAAACCCTCGGAATTCGCGTGGCCACCGCGACATAGGTTGAAGCTCTGGAAAAACAGCTCCAGGTTGGCTGTTACCCCCTGGGACCAGCAAAGGCTCAGAAACCCGGCGATGTACGAATGACTGTTGGGGGTCAACTGGCACTCTGACAGGGGGCTAAGCCCACGTACCGGAGCTATTCAAGGAGGAACGGATGCATAGGGAATCGGAGGCCCATTGACATCGAGAGGATATGCACCGCAAAACACCCCTCGGGAACCCGGGAAAGTACATCATCGGGCCCTGCCTCCACCATGGTTCCCGAGGGCCCCACGTGCAGCTGCGTCACGTAGCACTCCGCTTTGTCAGCCCTCGACTTCAACTCAAGGGCTTCGGTGTTCAGGAAAGAGTACCCCTCAGGAATACCGACGGGGTTCCCTTGATCCGCAGCGCTCCCCTTCTTCTTGGGGACCCCCATCTTCTTCTTGGCCTTCTTCCTCGGGGCCACCCTGAGAGGTTCCGGGTTGAGTGGTCGGGAGCTGCTAGCCTCACCAGCATTTTGAGGGGGTCGGAAGGCAGCAGTGACCTTCATTCTCTCCTTTTGCTCCTCCTCCTCAGCAACTTGAACGGCGAGGGCCAGCTCCTCGTCCTCGTTTACCTGCTCGAAGTCTTCAGCCTCCATTTCCACCCGAAGGTTGTTCTGAACCTCCTCAGCTACTGCCAAGTCATTTCTGGCCGACAGCTGCTCGCTCGAAGACTCCACCTCGGAGACGCTTTCTGTCTCAACCGAGGGCTCCCTCTAGATATCTTGTGAATCGCTCTGTGACGACATTCTTAGGGAGTCGAGGGGTTTGAAGGAAGAAAGTTTCTTAAGGATCGGCTAGCACTATACCTAAGGCCACAAGGCAAAGAACTTACTAAGTAAGCAAAGAGCAAGCGAGGAACTGACCTTAGGGGCTAAGTTTGATCGCACGGTACTTTCTCTCTCTAGAAAAAATTGGTCAGGACTTCGCTAAACAATGAAATGCGTAAGGAAGGAATGGCCCTGGCCATGGGGTATTTATAGGCCTCCCCAATCCAGGCTTGGGCCAGAAACTGGGCCCCCGATGGGAAAATCATCATTACAAACCGTCATCTCCGCCAACCGGTAGCACCCGCCCGGGTTCATCCAACCAGGAGCCGCCACATGGACCCCACCACCAACGTTCCATATTCCAATGGTCCATGTTCCAACGGTCATGTCTCAACGGCTCTATTTCACAGGCTAACGTGCCCTCATCTGGCACCCCTCATACAACACTATGCATGCCTTCGATCCAACACCTTCAGACTCCTTCATCAAGGGGAGCCCCCTGGCTTAACAACGGGAAAACCCCTCAGGACCACTTGGCCCTCAACATGTTGAGAACCAGGGACCCCCCCCCCCCCCCCCAAATGAAACGAAAAGAGTCAAGCCCTCGGCCCTATGCTGAAAATAGGCAAGGCTCTACTCCTCTTCCCCATATTACATGTGCCTCAAGGAGTGGGGGACTGAAGAATCCCTCCGGGAAAATCACAAAATGCTAAAAATTCTCACAAAGCATCAACATCCTTCAGTCCCAGAATATGGGGGACTGAAAGACTGCCCTCGGCAAACTCGCGTGCAAACGCAAATCTCTCACAGGTTTACAAACTACAACAAAGCAAACACCGGCACTAACACAATTACTCATTTTCCCTCAAGTACCTTTCGGCAAAAGGAGTGAGGGACTCCTGATGGAGTATATGGCCCAGGGACCCCCGGCCCACATACTTCCACTAATGCAATCAGGCCCAACAGGCCCAAGCGGGCCAAGCCCAGCAAGACAAAGCTCTAAGCAGCCCACCATACGCACATGGGAGTGCCTTCGGTGACATGGTCGAAGGCTACCGTTACAGATTTGAGCTCGAAAACATCACAGGAAAATAAGGCTTGAGAACCAAGCCTTCGGCAATTGGAGCCCTCGGCACTATAAGGCCCCCGGTACGAAGAGCCTTCGTGCTGTCACCTACAGCCGAAGGCATCTTCCCCGACAGAATCTCCTCTCCACATGCGCTGAATCGCCGCACCAAGTACAAATGTCACATCCAACCACCGCATTTAATGCGGCCACATGCGAGTGTCAGTGCCACCTCAGTTGAGGTGCCCCCTCGACCACCAGATTGTTGACACGTGTCCCTATCTGGCATTTATTGCTACTATAAATAGCAGTCCATTTCCCCATTGTAAAACAGAATAAGTTCACATAATCGAATACATTCTCTCTCTTACTTATTTGCTCTAACTTCTCTCTAGTTACTCCCCGCAGTAACCCCTCGGATAAGCTACCCCCCGGGTACACTATCCATCAATGAAAACGTTGAGATTTCTTGTTGAATGTATTGCTTGACAACTTGAAGCCTCAACGTGCGCCTTGTTGGTCACTTTCTTTTTCAGCTCTCCCAGAAATATGTCATGCAAAATAAAAAATGTAAACAAACAAATGTTCTTATTAAAAAAATCTTCAAATATAAATGAAATTGTAACTAACCTTTCAAATCTGTACATCCAACGATAGAAGACGGGTCCTCCATTCAAAGCCTCATACGGAAGATGTATTATAAGATGTTCCATTCCATCGAAAAATGATGGAGGTGGTATTTTTCCCAAATTACACATCAGAATGGGCACGGAGTCTTCTAGTCTCCGGAGGGATTCAACATCCAAATCTGTGAGTTGATAGACTGCTTTTGGAACATTACCAGTATGTTCTAGATCAATTAGGTGACCGCTGGATTATCAATTATTGGTTTTTGTCACAGAAATTGTCACGGACAGATCCGTGACGAATTTTTTTGAATTTTGTCACGGATTTATCACGGCTTAATCCGTAACAAAGTGCCCGGAAGTAAATAAATTTTGGTCGGAGTCAATTGCCGGTCACCGAAGGCAATTTATCACGGATTTTTTTCCGTGACAAACTTTTCCATTACAATTCCGTGACAACTTTGTCACGGCCTGAATTCGTGACAAAAATCCGTGAAAAACGGTCTGTTTTTTTTTGTAGTGTAGTGCGTACTTCACAAATTTATTCGATAATTAGAAGTCAAATTCAGGATAAATTTTGTGATGTGTTTATTAGGTCATCAAACAATGTGTCAAAATCGTGTCATAGTCCGTATAATCAAATCAAAGAATGAAACTAAAAGTAAGTGATGTCCATAATGCCACATATCTAATGGACTCCAAAACACTGGGAGAGTGTTTGAATATACTTCTTCAAACTATTTCTGGTACTTCTAAGAGTAGAAGCATATATTATAGTGTTCGAGTGAAGGTGTAAAAAAAATAGTGCTGAACATTTTAAAATACTCCAAATTCTGGAAAATTGATTCTGATTTTACTTCTACTTTTAAAAAAGAAGCATAACCAATTACTAACACCCCATAAATCAGGAGATTCAATTATATGTGGGTAAATGTGGCTCCTTCAAATGTTCAATTGTGACATTATGGACTAAAACACAATCTATTCATGTTTTTACCTTAACTGGTTACATTTTTTTCATCACTTAATATACATTTGAAATTTCACAATGTTATGAAAACTGGAAAAAAAATGAGTCTTCGGTGTATAGAATGGAATATGATGTTTATGCTACAGAGCATCAATAACTCTCTGCTTTTTATCACCCTTTACCGCCAACAACTCCATCTCTCTCCGCCTCTTCACGCCACCGCAGGTGCCGGCAATCTCACCGCCGTTACCCTTAACGTCGTCTCCCACATTCCATATGTTCACCCCGAAGAGCCGGACCACTGGAACCGGGTGACCCCGGCCGAAGCACGATCCGGTTGGTTTGGGCTGAACCGGAGGCATCCCATTTCCACCGGCCTGCTTCCAGTCAATGAAAAGCTGCTGTTCAAGGCCGGTCGAACGCTGGAACGAAACGACGTCGCCCGCTTTCAAGCTCTTCTCCTTCACGAACCGGCTCCACCCTTTGGTCAACACGTAGCTTTGACTACTGTTCCAGTATGAATAACGGAATCTCCAAACTTTTCCACTTTGGTCCTCGAAGTTTAGCAGAATCCCTTTCGGCCCCGCCCCGGCGCCGTTTTGCAAAGGGAAGTGCCTCTCCGCGTGCTGTTTGGGGATGACGAGCCGGTTCAGCTTCCCGACGTCGCTCGGAGTCACCGCCTTCTCGAAGAGCGGTTCGCGGGATGAGTTATTGTTTCTCGCCGGCTTTGTGAAAGTGGGCGAGATAATAATTCCATCCCCATTTTCAATTCCGCCAAACGCGTCCTTAAACTGTTTCAACTCGTCGCCGTACGTGTGCTTACGAAGCATGTCGACAATCTCCAGCTTAGAATGCGAATTTAAGAACGCCACCTCGACGGCGTTCTTGAAATCTCCGTTTTGTGAGAACCCAGCCGGGGGTTTGAAGTTCGTGACGGCTTCACGGCCGCGGAAGCGGACGGCGGCGGCGTCGTAAGACCGGGCCGCTTCCTCCTCCTCATTGAACGTCCCCAGCCAGACCCTCTGGTGCTTTTCGTAAATTTGAGCCCCCCAACGGCCGTTGGGCTGTGGGACCACCCCTTTGAATCTTGACGACGGCAGCTTCCGGTTTGACTCTGCCTCCACGCCGTTCTCGGCGTCTATGATCACACTCGCGCCGCTACCCACCCGGCAGAAACTTTCCGGCCACTTTACCGGCGAGGGGATAGACGCCGGTGCGGTGGCAGATATTGTGTCACTTTCATCTGCGCTGCTACTTCCCTCCATTGGAGTACAGAGAGAAATTGGTAAGCAGAGGAGAAATAAGAAGGTTGATAACTTGATATTGATCGATCGGTATATGTGTATGGACACTTATATATGAAGTGTTTGGAGGAAATACATTTATTATAGGTTTGATATTTGTGGTACTATTAATCAATAATAATTATGTATATATATAATCATACATATTATGATTACAAAATTTAGCAATAATAGTAATATAGTGTGGGTCAACTCCCTATAAACATGACAATGTATGACACTAGGAAGATTCATGCGGTTGGTCGAGAAAATAATTGGCTACAACTCATTTGTTCAAAAGATATCATATTTTTCATCTTTCCTCATTCATTTCTTCCTCGAGTGAATGATACATTGATACTCTCTTAATTTACGTGTCTTATTTTTCTTTTTCAGGTTTTCCATGATAAAATTGATTTTTCATTTTTTAGAAAAAATACATGATTCAAAACATTTTTATTATATTTAAATTTTAATCAGAACACTTGAGTTTTCAACTACTTTATTAATAATTGTGTCAGATCAAATCAAGACACACAAAATTAGATAGAGGTGATATAAGATTAAAGATTTTTATTTTTCTTAAATGTATCTCTTTAGGTTTAGTTAGACATATTGAAGTGGTAAACTTAATAGTAGGGAGTACAAGATAGTATTTTTTTTATTTGCTACACTTTCTTGTTGGGACTGTATTTTAATTTGTACCGCACATTCCTTTTTGATAGGTTTTTTTAAATACTCAATAACCTTACTTTTTATTTTATATCTTCTTTTTCATACTACGTACTTTATTACCATTTCTTATACTTTTTGTACATTATTCATTATTCTTACTATTTTTTTCTTAAACATTGTGTCAAACTTTTAACCCTATTGTAGCAAACATTATAACATTAGAAATTGGTATTACTCGGAATAAGGTTGAATCTAGTCTACCTAAAAGCATTCTTAATATAAGGAGTATAAGTTATGCTAATTCGTGTACACAGCATTTGTACACAACAATTTGATCGTTGCCAGGGGCAAAGCTAGGGTAGGGTCAATTAACATTTATTTATTTTATTCATGCTTAAATATAGGTGTAGGTCCGGTTATGTGCGATGTGTACGTGTGTGAGCAAAATTAAAGTTGGTGCAAAACTTGAGCCCCTCTAAGGAGCCATGTGAACACATTATTATATTATAATAACGCGACTATATTGCCAAAGGCACAGATAATGCCATGCGGGTCTCACTAATCTCATATTTATATATAATAACATCCACATTACATCCCTGGTATTTGCTAATAGAATTATTGACAAAACTAGGGACATTATCTCTGCCTTTTTGGTATGATAGAATTAAAATATCCTCAAAATAGGGACATTGAAATTATTGGCAAAACTTATACGTTTTTGGTGTTCAAATATTGTTGGACTATTTGTCCACACCAATAACTTGTTATAAAATAAATAAATAAATAAATAAATAAATACGGCGTAATACGTAGTTTAATTAATACTACGTACTACGTACCGGTGGAGGACCTAGGGGGTCTTGGAGGGGGGGGCAAGTGCCCCCGCTTCCGACTCCGAAATTTAGTAGTAGTACTTGTGATAAAATCAGTGGCCCCGATTCTTGATATAAAACTATTACTATTAAATATGTAATAATTTTGTCAAAAGACATATGAAATTGTTATAAGACATTTAAAAATCTGTGGAGTTATGATGAAGCGATTTCATACAGTTAGACATGTTCTTGACACTATCATTCTTTGAAAAGTGGCATTACTGGTTATTTTTTGTGAAGTACTGATTATCTTTTTCCAAAATTAGAAGTCAATGATATGATGAGACTTCTAATATGTGTGGTGAGCTTAATGGATTTGTGGATACTTTTATTGGATATTTGTCTATGGTTATGTTACTAAAATGTTGGGATCCTCTTGTAAAATAAAGTGTGTATTCCTACAAAAACAACATGATACCATGCATAAGAGAGTTCTTAGAAATGGTGTAGTAGTAACAAATGGGAGATGATTGAATCAAGAAATTAAAGTAGTTTAGCTCAATCGGGAGTTACATGTTAGGGTGCACAATTTAATCCCAAGTTGATGAAAAATTTTGGACACTGTAATTTTGTGGCACGTGTGTAACGTTGGACATTATTCTACTTCTAAATCAAAATTCTAACCGTTTGTAGTACAAAAACAACTTGAATTCTAATCCAAAACCAGAAATGGTGCCAGGATGATTCAGTTCTAATTCATATGAAGTATTATGTTTTTCTTTCAAGAAACCGAATATTATTATTTAGAATTGTTTTAATGGGTTCAAAACTATACCGGCCTGTTGTACATAGATGTAAATCATATCATTTGAAACTGACATTGAATAACTTGTTTTTGTTTAAAAAATTGTCTACACATTGAATAGATTAGTCTCACATCCGACCCAACCCGTCTTCGTTTATACAATAGTGCGCCCGCTTGAGAAAAGTTCTAGGTCCGCCACTGCTACGTACTACGTTACATTACTACGTACACCCTCCGTCCCTCTTATATTGTCCCATTTTACCTTTTCGGGAAGTCCCACTAAAATTGTCCCATACCATATTTGGTAAAGTTTGTGTGGTTCTAAATCATTCTTACTTTATTCTTACTTTATCAATTAATATCAACCACACGATCCCACTTTTCTTAATAATCGTGTCACTCTCTTCCGACCCAATATAAGAGGGACGGAGGTAGTACATAATTAATATGTTGGACTAGGCTGAGGTTAAACATTTAAGATAGAACCTTAATTAGATTTTAGTATGACATTGGAGCTAGATCTAGTTGTTTGAATTTTGTTCCACACTCATCATTTATTTACAATAGTTTGTCTCAGACAGGAGCGGAGCCAAGGCATTTGACCGGATTATGCCAATACAAAAAATACTTTTGAAAAAATATATATTTTTTATATTAAAAATTAAAGCACTTTTAAAATTTTGGGTGGGCCGGGGCCTAGGTTCCCCCATCCCGTAGTTCTGCCCATGTTTTCAAGACTAAGCTACTTAGTTTTCTCGCGCACCTTCAAATTGTGCAGCCCAATTTGAGTTGAAACGCATATTGAACTATTTGTGTCATGACTTTTTGGTACAAATACACATATGTATAATGCCATTAAAATGTATATAGTTCATATCCTTTGCATGTGTTTGAACAAATGTCGATCACCTATTCACCACCAATCAAACTTTAGGATAAAACGTTGTACTCCTTCCGTCACGTTGGAATGTTCCCGGTTTGACCTACACACATATTAAGGAGATAAACTTACCAGAGGGTAAATTTTACTGTTTTGACACTGTTTCGACACTGTTTGGCACTGATTCGACACTGTTTTGCACTGTTTGACTCTGTTTTGATGTAGTCATGTAGGATAACTTTCCATTTAGGGAAATGAGAACTTTCTAACGGGACATCCAAGAAAGGAAAGCGGGATTCCAACGAGACGGAGGGAGTATATGTTAATTGGCATAAACATCTAAAGAAAAAACTTAATTAGTAAATGTGTTAAAAGAAAAGAAACTAACTTTCACTGTGGTTGGTAAAGTGAATTCGTGTGCAATGATCTATATAAGTATATGGGCATAAAAGATTGCAGATATGGATGGATGGGAGTTGATATGTTGATGTGATGTGGGGCTGTGCGATAATGGCAAGTTGATTGCATGTATTCACATGAGAGTGGACCATCCATTGATATACATACATACATATGATCCAGTGAGTTCATCCCCCCTGAGCTTTTGCTGCATGCTCTCTATAACTAAGCATGGCATTCCCAACCTCTAACAATTATTCACTACCTCACCCATTCTCCCTATTCATCATCCCCTTAGATAAACCTGTATGTAACTTTCAGCTACAACCCTCTCCAGTACTGCATGCATATGCCCATTTCATCATGATTTAATGAGAAAATAGTAAACCCATAACTGATCCATCTAAATATTATGCCAAATCCAGTGTGTACGTATATATTTAATTTGAAAGACAACAGTGGAGACTGGAGAGTATCTATCCCATATTTTATTTTATCCACTTTAATTTAAGAAATTAAATCTCTTGTTTAAGGGAGATTGCCCTAAATAAGATTAAAACGTTTTTATATTCCAAAATAGGACTATCATATTTTTACTTCTAAAATATGACTAATTAATGTCATGTTTTGACAATACCAAACTTTAAATATGACATTATTTATCAAACTTGGTGTCAATTAGTTATATTTTGGGAATAAAAACATGGCAGTCATATTTTTGGAATTTTTCAAACTTTTTTACATACTCCTATTTGGTGAATTTTCTCCTTATTTAATGAGTAATGTGACTTAAGTACTTCAATTCACTAGTACATACACCTTAATCGCCCGATCGACTGCAAATGTATTATGTACTTCTCCTGAGTAACTTTGTAACTTTATACTATATGCATGCATTATACTCAAGGTCGGATTGCACTTTTAGTAAACTTTGTTTTAAAAATGTATTATGCATTTTTAAAATTTTAAAAATTATGTGGGAAAAATACATGTATATGATCGATGTCATAATTTATACTCCGTATATTGTACTTTAATTTTATGTAATGTTTTTTAGTTTTTACCCTATACGCTAGCTTGTTTTTGTTAAAAAGTTATATTTCTTCAATTGTTGGATCAAGTGATATCATTATGTAACATCTTAATGGGAAATGGGAAAGTAAATTCGAAGTCCCCACATTTAGTTGCAAGATCCGTCACTAGATAAAGAGGAAATGATGGGTTAAGAAAATTTTGAAGGATGGACGAATTATAATTTCTTTTATTTCCTTATCGGGGATGACAGAATCGATTTATATGTTTATTTTCTTTCAGAGTCTAGTTAATATTTTTTCAAGTCTCGATTACTAGCCTAATAGAAGAATTTGCATGCATCTTTGTAGAATATGTTAACAAACAATTGTGTTCCTTGGAAATATTTCAGTTTATGTCTCATCTTATTGTAGATTTTATCAATTTATGGTACAAGTGCTTTGATTTGTACCAATTATTTTTTCATTAACATATAAATTCATTTCCTCTAAAAATATTTGATTGATA